TACGAGTCATTTCTGCCCATTTATTATTTTGTGTAGTACCGGCGAACAATATTAATATCCAAGGTGTTGACGATGATGTAGAACTGCTATCGGATGGTGATGGTATTGAATATTGAAATAAATCACTTACCGATGTTGATGTTAAGTCGTAATCCAATGGCTTCGAAAAGCCTTCGACTCTTTCTTTATCATGTCCTTCTGAAATCAGTTGAATTCGACTATCCCATTCTGTTAGACGAATATAACTCCAATTCGTATATATTAGTGTATCATGATATTTGACACTTTTAACTTCAATACGAATCGAATCTAGACATGTCATATTCTTAAGATATTTTCCTTCTTTATCATCGTCCAATCGACATTGTTTAGGAATCAATTGTTGAACTCTAAGTAATTCCCTTACAATTTGTACTGTGTCATTTAACAATGTATCGCTATTTTCTATATCGAAATTGTTTGATCTATATTTTGCTTCATGTAAAAGTTGTCCAATAAGTTTGACATTGTTGACTATATCGATTGAGAGTTTTTTTATATATTCAATTCTTCCATGAGCTTGTTTACATTTGAGATCATAATCAATTTTTAAATGTTTATTTTCTTCCTCAATGGTCCGAACTCGATCGTGGTAGTTCTCGATTTTTTGATTTATCAATTCTTCATTGATCTTTTTCCGATGTGCTAATAATAGATTGATTTCTTTATTCCACTCATCACTTATTGATTTGATTTCCTGTGCATTCGGTCGTGGCGTAAGACGATCTATATTATTCAAATTGCATTTCAATGCTTTTAAATTCATTGTTGACATTTGTAATAATTCATAGCGAAGCAATTTTGTCAAATGTATAAGATAAACAATAACGGGTTCATCATTGAGCATTTCAATTTCAGGATATTTTGCTCTCAGTTGACCGATCGTTTGTTGTAGAAATACAAGTATTTGTTGTCCTTCATCATTTAATAATTTGAAAACAAATGAGTAACGTAATCGTTTCGAATTTGAATTAGGATTGGTTGTTGTTGGTGCAGCAAATGAACGAAGTATACATGATGCTTGTGACGAACCTTGTACAAGAAACTGCGTCAAATGGTTGTACCAATCGAGATTTTTATCGATATTTTCAATATGATGAAAATGACGAATTAAATTTGTTTTTGATAAAGCTTCAAGCAAATGAATATCATCGAAATTTAAACGAGCTTTCATTGTACTGTTGTATTGATTTTGTAGAGAATCGACCTGTTTTTGTTGGTATTGTTGAGATAGTTGAATCAAAAATAAGGCAAAATGATCGACAAAATTTTCCAATACGGATTGTATGTGACTCAATGGTTCGACTAACTTCTTTCGTTCATTATATAAACATTCTATAACCATGAGTCCGTGGTCTAACAGCAAATCTAATTGATCTTTATAAATATATTCTAAGAATTCGGTGTGCATTGTATCGAGAGATGATGAACATGACAAATGAATCGACACTTTTAAATTTGTTAGAAATGGTTCAATACTGTTTAATGTTTCAAGTTCCAATTTATCTGTCATATTCTCAAGAATTTTTGTCATTAAATATTGTGTACTATTGACAAGAACATTCAAATTATAACTGACTTGAACTAATAGATTTGTCTTTAATGTTGATTTTACGATACGTCCACTATTCTTCCAATCGTCGATTTCTATCAGTTCTTTCATTTTTCGTTCTAAATCATTAATAATTGCTACTGGATTGTAACAAATATCGCCGAAGATGTGTGTATATCGAAGTTGTAAGCTATGTCGTAGTAGAGAGAAATCATAAATTAGATTTTTGTGAACTTCTTTTAATGAATATTCATCAACGGGTAAACTTGTACCAGGTAGATGTATACATTCACGAAATCCGCTCAAAATCAATAGTCTCTTCATACAATCATCCCATTCACATGAGTCATTTCCAATATCGAGTTTCATTGTTTTCAACTGTGCCAATGTTAATTGATTTGTTTGTTGTGTTTTAAATAGTTGAACGAGAAATATTGTAATGCGTGCATATAGACTAGAACAATGGTATAGTAGAATTGATAGGACTTTGGACGAGTAAATAACTCGTGCATCATCCGCGAACTTATCGATTTGAAAAGCAACGCGACTGAGTTCTTTTGTATTATGATACAGCGTATCCACAGTCATAGTAATTGATGATATTTGAGGTACACCGACAATCGGAAGAACAATATCTTATGTGTTAGAAACAAGTGCATTTATTTGATCAACAGTCTTTTCGATTTCTTTCATATATGAATTTCGTTGATTGGCCATATCATGTAACCAGTTTCGTACGGAATTGAATAGTTGAATGCCTATTAATTTGTAAGCAAGACAAGAACGGTGAAATATTTGATATAGATTATTATCCAATTTGAGCCATGAAAGAGCCTCATCAAAATCGTTGTAGGATTGTGTCAATTCTTTGTTTACGTTATCAAGAAATTCATTAACGCGCGATGTCAACTGATTGAATTCTGTTTCCTCAAGTTTCACTTGATGTAATTAAACGTTGTGTTTCTTGAAGGTCATTCTTTGTTTGTTGTTTATTTTCGATTTTCTCTATGATTTGTGTTGCTAAATGATTGCATTTGACTTGTAACTGACGATTAATTTCCATAAGTTGACGAATTTGTTTAAGAGCTTCTTTATTCAAGTTGCTGTGGTAATCTTGCTCGCTTCTAATATATGCATTATCTGCATCTGTCTTAACGGTTTCTAGTTGTTCTCGTCTATTATGATCGGATGCCAATTTGGTTAGCTCTTTTTCAATATTAGCTTTTTGAGCTTTACATTGTTGAAGATCTTGGTCATATTGATGAACAACAGCATCAGAAATTGCATATAGTCTATAGCCTTTAACGTACCACTTGTGCCAAGTTGGTTAACCAATTTTAATATATTAGCTTGCGTTTCATTAGATAATTTGCTCAAGAGCGATAGTAATTCAAGTGCAAAGAATGAATGATATTCGTTACTTTCGGACAATTGATGAAACCAATGATTTTGAATGTCTACACTTTTCGCAGTTTCGGTCATTTGATGAACAATAGTTACAATCGATTCAATGAGCATTTTACTTGCTGTCGATTGATCATCGGAAAGTAGCGATAGCAATTCTGATGTATCACTTTTTAAGACAAATTGCTTTTCATACAATGTTTTAATCGATGTTCGAAATTCGTCAGTTTTTAAATAATTTTTTTATTGTTGAACATTTTTAAAATCGAAATTATCTAACTGAAGGGATCCCATGAAGAGCATTGGTAGCTCAGGAAAGAGCAGTGCAATACAATCAGATAATCGCAAATAGGATAATTGAATACCCATCGATTTATTGTAATTTGATTGATCACGTAAAATTCTTGTTAAAGTTTCATGTCGTTTGTAGAGTCGAACAAAATGTGGATAAATATGTATTAATTTATATGCTTGAATATCTTGATCATCCGATGTTATTAACATAAGATTTGTTTTATCGTACGGATTCAATGTCTGCAAGTGTGCTGATCGTTGTGTAATGGCATTTTCTAAAGTTTTTGTTCGAAATTGTTCCAATTTCGGAGCCGGTAAATGAAAACGGTCGGTTTGATCATGTGCATGTTTTTCACAAAATTGTAATAAGTCTTTACATATTTCGGCCAATGAAGTCGAATCGAGAAGGATGAACATAGCCATAAGTGATTTCAAAATTTCGATTATCGATTGTCTAATAGGTTTGGTAAACAAAGATCACAGATCAATTTTTCGACATTTATCCACATTGATTCAGATGTTTGCCGATGAAAATAATTGATTAAAAATTCGAGTGCTGAATCTTGTTCGAAACAGATTTTTTCATCACTTAATGATTTTATCAATTGAATAAGCTGATCTCGTTTATCATCAGAAAACGAATACGGATTTTCATCGGTCTGTTTCATCGTTTTGACAATCATATCCGATGTAATATCCATCGATTTTTCATGTTTGACACGTTTAATATTAAAAATATCGGATTTTTTATGTTCGACAGATTCGCTAGCAATTTGTCGTTGTAATTCTTTCGGTGATTCTTGCCAATGTAATAGACTGATTTCGTTTAACATTGTTTTATTACGTTTGATTTCGTTCAGTTCCATGAGTAACATAACAATAGTATATCGTATGCTCGAAAGGCCATTCTGTTTGGCCAACTGTTTTAATTTTTGTTCGACTTTCGACAATTCTTCATTTTGACGATCGAGCATTGTTTGTTCGGCATCTTTTTTCAAAATAGCTGGCGTCGATTCATAAATCAATGGTGGTACCGTCGTCGTTGATGTCCTTCCTTGTTTGACACCGGGTGTCACATGTTGTATGACATTATCAAGTTCATCTTTTGTACACAATGTAAACTGTTTTATTTCATCTGCTGATAATTGTTCAATTGTTTACTGATGAGAAAACAGAAAATCGTTTACAATTGAGTGCAGCAACTCGATCACGAATGACAGAAATACGTGTTCAATCGTATGATACTAATGAATTGAAACAATTGGCAATAAAATCAATATTAAATTCCATTCACGATAAAAATATTGAATCAAAACTAAATTCAATAATTGATATATTAGCTAATGAACTTGCTCCATTATTAGCTCAGACAATGAAAATTGACTCATTAGATTCACGTCATTTTGTTCGTTTTGCTGAATCGTTACGATTACAGCTTCAATATGTGCCAATTGAACAAGCAGCTGCAATTTGTGTTAAATTTTTATTTCTTGACAGTGTTACTGAATTGAAAAAATCAACGATTGTCAACATTCAAGAAACAGATACAGTATGGCAAAAAGTACTTGATGCATTTAAATGTACAAATAATTCAATTCTAACTGATGAAAAACTTGAAAAATCTGGTGTCTATTCACAACTCGATGAATGATGCGCTGTTGAACAAATGGCAATCTTCGATGAAGAAACAAAACAAACACGAAAACATTGGGGTTTACGTCTTTTATCTAATCAATTAATAGCTCCTTTTGCACCACAAATAGGAACGAAACCTAATAATCTCATATTTCCACTTGCTTTAACAAAATCTGTGTTAAGTAATATCTCACGAATCATATTTTCATTACGTTCATCCAATCGACAGTTACTTGCTGGTCCACCAGGTGTTGGTAAAACGAAAATTATTGAAGTTCTTGCTAAAATGTTGGGATATAATGTTGTTCGTATTAACTTTAGTAGTAATACAACATTTGAAGATCTTATTGGTTCATTTGTACCTCGTGTTGTCAATGGACAACGATCATTTGAATTTCATTCTCTATAATGCATTGCATCAAAATCGCCAAAATACAGTAATCCTATTCGATGAATTGAATTTAGCACGCAAAGAATTCTTAAATCAATTGACGCCATTATTTGCCAATGAAAATGAATTGTTTATACCGGCATTAGCAAAAGCGATTTCGATTGGTGGTTCAATTATTGTTGCAGCAATGAATCCGGCTTCAATCGGTGGTGGCCGAGAAAAATTACCACGATCGACTCAAACACATTTCATTCAAGTTCAACTTGCTGCATTCGAAGTACATGAATTAATGTATATTACAATATCATTACTACATTCACATCTCGATGCCAATTATTTAACGAATCCATTAGTTGAAAAGATCAATCAATTTCATTATGAAATAAGTGAAAAAGCGCGTTTGAAACAAATCGGTCGACTTGGTGGACCGTACGATTTCAATCTTCGAGATATAGAAAAATTATCGAAACTAATTGCTGCACATTCGGTTACTCATCGTGCTCATATGAATCTTTCCGAAGGAACAATATCAAGAAATCAAACCGATGATAATGATCTAAATAAAATTGAAGAACAAAATATTATTCGTAGTTTACATGTTTATCTTGACATTGTTTATGCTTCTCGATTCGAACACGTTGGTGATCAAAATTCAGTTCGAGAAATGATACGAAATCGTTTTACTTTGGATACAAATACATCGATTCATAATCGAAAAGAATTAATCGATAGTGACTTAAATCTCCAAGGTTATGCAAGGTTATGCACGTCTCGGATTTGTCTATATTGAAAAGAAAGAATATCAATCGTCATATCGACCATTAGTTCACAGTCAACGAATATTAGAAAAATTACAATTATTAGCCGCGGCTACAGTTAGTAAAGCCACTATTCTAATCGAAGGCGGTGATTGTTCAGGTAAAACAGCAGCTGTCTGTGAATTGGCTCGATTATGTGGACGACGATTACTTGTTCTTAATTTAAATCATGAAACGACAACATCAGATTTACTTGGCTCATGGACAGTTATTAATAAGAAGTCGTTTGAAAAACGACGTCAACAAATTAGTGAACAATTACTTAATGATATTGCTCGTTTTGCATTAGCTATTCTTATACCATGTCGAAACAATTCTACGATGTCAAAAAATTGATTCGAACAATAGCAAAGATGATTCATCAATGGAAACATGGTAAGTGAATACGAACGAATTTATTGATCTTTTTTTTATATGGAATTTTTCTTCTTAATTGTATAGAAAATCGTGAACAAACTCAAAAAGCATTTCAACAATGTCGTTCATTATTGGAACATGAGATAGAACGTGGAAATATAGTACATAGTGAAACCATTGTAGAAGAAATTGAAAAATATTTGAATAGACTCGATCAAATTGAAGATGAATTTAAACTAATAAAAAATCTTGGCGAAGGATTAACATTTACGTTCAATAAAGGACCTCTAATACAAGCTATGGAACGTGGCGATTGGATTCTTTTGGATAATATCAATTGTGCACGTGGTGATGTTATTGAACGTCTAAATTCGTTAGCCGAAGCTGAACCAACATTAACTTTGTACGAATCGGCAACATCTCAAGAATATCGCCGTGGCAATGGGATACATAAAGATTTTCGACTATTTGTCAGTGCTAATAATAATCGAAAAATGGCGAATAAATTATTAAGTGCTTGGAGAAATCGATGTTTAGTTATTCGAATGCAACCGTTAGATAATGAGTTAACTATAGACAATGTTGAACAACATGATCTTGCTGAAATTATCAAAGGCGAATTACAAGGTATCAATAGTGGTCAAGAATTAGTACATACTTTATTGCGTGTACATGCCTCAGTAAAACAATTGTCGGACAGAAAAGAACTTCAATTCATTCAGTCGTATCAATTATCTTATGAAACTCTAAAACGTTCTGCACGCATATTACGAACATATGTTTCAAATAGACATGATCCAGTGTTTTCATTAAAACCGGCAATTTTTCGAAGTTATCTCGATCCTATACTGAATAAGAATGGAAAACATTCTTTAATTAAAGCCTTTGTTCAACATTTATCAAATAATGAGTTGAGTAAAACATCATTTGCAACATTACCGATGTTAACATCAATCATGACAAACGAAGATCAACAACAATCAATGACTTGGTATAAATCATTAGAAAATCTTCATGAATTAATTGCATCGATTGAAGAATGCACAATTGATATTCATTTGAAAATAATCAATCATTATATGACTGATGATTTAAGTACAAAACAAGAATTTGTTTATTATGGCTTATGTCTACTAGATTATCTACAACCTTTACTTAAACTAAAATTTAAAGAAGAAAATGAATCTGAGAATGAGCTCTATTCTCAAACTTCAACTATTCGATTAAAAATTCTATCAAATAATGATCAACAATCGACAACATATGGTTTTGATTTGAAAAAATGCTTATCAGAAACTTATCGATATTTACAATCAACTAAAATTCTACTTTCACTCGATAATATCGAAGATTCATTCGATACATTAGATAGCAATGTCAAAAAATGTTACAATAAAATTCTTGAATTTGTTCAACAAACATCATTTACTGATGCTCAATATCATCTTCCCAAATTACAACAATTGAATAATACCATTCATCAACTTACATCATTATCAAAAAAATTAGAATTTGTTTGTAAATTAAGATCATCGAATATACTCGACTGGAGTGTTACAATTCAAGATTATTTAAATAGACTTTTAATTACAGAAACATATATTAAATGGGTCGCTTTTCCGTGTCAACCAATGGCCAAGAAAGATTTACATATACTCTTACAAACACAAGAATTTATTCGTCAACATAATCAAACAAATACGGACGATGATGATAATGAATTTACTTCAGCTTTAAAATTAATTAATGAACAACAAAGTCAAAAACAAATTGCATCAGTGATTGAAAATGTTTTTGGTCGTAGTCTTTTATTCACATCAAAATTATCTATTCAATATCGAACAAATAATGCAATTACTTTTCTATCAGAGAAACGTCTTTTATTACAAATGCCAACGATAACTCTCGAACGTGTTCTCAATAATTGACCATTACATATTTCGAAACCGGGCAGTAATCAGGAAATTGAAAAAATAATTAAAATTCATAATTACTTTTTCAAATATTTCCA